TTTTTTATTTTGCCAGTTTTAGTTCTCTATCACAGGAGACTCAACTCTGTGAGAACAGCATTGGTAAAAAGGGAAGACGTTAATTCTGTATACTGTATGTTTTCCTTTTGTTATATTTAACATTACAATTTTCTTTTTTCTTTGTTAATGACTGACTGATAATTGCCCCATGTGTGTTTATCTTAGTATTATCTGCAAAGGTAATTAATAACAGTTAATTCCTGACAGGCATCCTGAAACATACTATACGGTGTGCATACAGTCATTTGGTACACAGAAGGAAAAACATAATGTAACTAAATAAGAACAAGACCTGCTAAAAGTATTTTGCACTTGATTTCCTGATCTCTTCAAATTAATTCCAAAAACTGACCATATAATTGATACCAGAGCCAAACACAGGCTAGATTAATGACACAGATGGAGAGGAAATGGAGACTATTGTTTCAGCTTAACATATAGAGAGAGCTGAAATTATACTGTATATTTGTTAAATAGAATCTCAACTGTAAAAAAATCAGCCACGTTCAACAATAATACAGTACATATCACATTTGTCATGGATGGAATAGCTTATTTCTGTATTAATAAGGATTCCACCTTTGCATAATATTGTTGCATTAATGATATGTTTCTGTATACTATATCACAGATATGTAGGCAGTACTGTGTACATGTAGAGAGAATTATACTGTTTATATAAAGTAAAATATAGAGTGAGTATAGAAAGTCACCACCCCCTTTTAAAATGTGTATCATTTGTTGTAGGACACTCTGAAAATAAAAACATTAAATTAGGCTTCTTCCATTTTAATTTACACACAGTAACCCACATTAGCCAAGTGAAAATACATTTCTAAAACATTCTGAAAATTAATTAATATTACAGCAGTAAAATACTATCATAAAATAGGTATAACCAATCACCTGACAGATAAAACAACAAACTAATTGGCTCTCACCTGTGATCAATTGTGGTGATTTTGATTAGTTCAGAATAAAAGCAGCTGTTTCTAGAGGATTCCACTGTTTGGAAGTGCATTTCAAAGAACATAATCCACTATGAGTGGAAAGGTGCTTTCAAAAGAACTTCGAGATAAAGTTGTGGAAAGGCAAAAGTCAGTAGATGGGTATAAAAAGATTTCAACGGCTTTAAGTATCCCATGGAGCACAGTAAAGACCATCATTAAGAAGTGTAAGGCATATGGCACCACCCAGACCTAAATTGGATGACCGAGTAAGAAGGAGACTGATCAGAAAGGCTACAAACAGGCCAATGGCAACTTTGAACAAGCTACAGGCCTCTGTAGGAAAGACAAAAAATGGCAAAGACTGGTCACTGTTCACATGTGACAACAATATCACAACTGTCTACAAATCTGGCCTGTTTGGGAAGGTGGCAGGAAAAAAAGCCACATCAAGTCTCTTTGCTAAAAAGCACATTAAAGATTCTGTGGCCAAGTGGCAAAAGGTGCTGTGGTCAGATGAGACCAAAATCAAACTTTTTGGCTGGAATGAAAAATAGTACATCTGGCGAAAACCCAATACATCTTACCATCCAAAGGACACCAATCCTACAGTAAAGCACAGTGGTGGCAACATCCTGTTGTGGGGGTATTTCTCTTCAGCTGGGACTGTGGCACTTCAGGATAGAAGGATAGATGGATGGTGCAGAATACAGAATTTCTTGAAGAAAACCAGCAGCCCTCAGCCAGGAAGCTGAAAATGGGGAGATGGTTCAGCTATCAACATGACAATGACCCAAAGCACACCACCAAAGCAATTGAGTGCCCTAGTCAGAGCCCCGACCTAAATCCCACCGAAAATCACCACGCAGTATGACTGAGCTTGAACGATTCTTTAAGGGGGAATGGGTAAATATTCCTGCCTCTAGGTGTGCAAAGTTGGTAGAGATTTATCCAAACAGACTCAAGGCTGTAATTCAAGCAAAAGGTGCTTCTACCAAGTATTAACTCAGGGAGGTGTTCTCTCCACCAACCCAGTTATTCTACTTTTTAATTTTAATTTTCAGAAAATTTGCTTTCTTTTTTCACTTGGATGTTGCAATGTACCATTTGTAAACAAAACTGAAAAAAGTCAGATTTTATTTGTCTACTTTTTGGCTTTAGGGCAACAAACTTTTTGAAAGGGGGTGGTGACTTTCTATACCCACTGTAAATCCATATCTACTTTGTATAAAACTGGGATATATAGATCACATTACATCCATCCATTTTGTAACCACTTCTTCGAATTCAGGGTTGTGGAGGAGCCAGAGCCTATCCTAGAATGTACACACTCACAACTAAGGTCCAATTAATCTACCAGCATGAATTTGGACTCTGGAGGACACCAGAACACATAGATGAAAACCACGGTGACACAGGGAGAACATATAAAATCCACACAGATAGCACCTCAGGACCAAAATTAAACCCACAGCTACAGAGCTGCGAGGCAAAAATGCTCACCACTGTACCACCATATCATCCTATACATGACACATGCAATATAAAACAGAGATGTAAAAATAATATACATTCCACATATTCTTAAAATGTCGTATTTCTTTTGTTTTAACCTACTGCTGAAATGGCAGGTAAAAGAAGCATTTTGTTGTGCGGCCCAGAGGTCAGGACCAGTATTAAAACTAAACACTGGCTAAGTCTATCATTTTATTTGTTTTAAAATGTAAAAGACAAGAAACTTCAGCATGTACAAAGTATGGCTTCCAATTTTTGACAGTTGCACGGCTTAACAAAGGCTGCAAAATTGTGCCAAATTTCATTCTCGAAGGAACAACAAAATAACACTTTTCATCCTAATGCACCGCAAATGCACCACAAACTGTCTAGGTGTTGTGCAAACCCTAACCCTAGCTCACATGGGCGTAGCCAGGAATTGATTTTTGGGTGGGCCGGGCTCTAACTGACTGTCCTGCCAGCATGGGGGCACCCCTCTAATTTACAACACACGCACAGGTTAAGCAACAATTACCTGGGCTACCAATGCTACTATGCCACAGCAGACACACACAAAAAAACAATCAGTGCCTACCTCTGTTGTGAGGTTTTGGCCTTCTAGACCAGACGCAGATGTCGGGGCTTGGAATTGAATGGTGATAACCTCATCACTGTTTAGAGAGTCGGCAAATTCCCGTTCAAACGACAGCTAGGTTGCAAAGATCTTTCATATGAGGACATTGTCTTTAGCTAAAGAAAGGCTGCAAGAGCTAATTTTCTAAAATCTCTTTCCTTTGTTTTGAAATGTAAAAGACAAGAGATTTTAGCATGTTCAAAGTATGCCTTAAAACCTTTGACTAGTGACCATTTTTGACAGTGACAAGGCTTTGTAAAAACTACAAAAATGGGCCAAATTTCATTCTTGAGGATACAAAAAACCTTTACTGTTTTTCAAATGCATCCTAGATCACAGCAAATGCACCAGAAAATGTATATGTTTGTTCAAACCCTAACCCTAGCCCTAGCCCTAACCCTAGCTCAGACACTTCTATAACAAATACCAAAGACCTTGCTTAAAAAGGCAGTGTTAAAAAAATGAGTGAAATAATTCCAAATTAGTCAGATACATTTTAGGAAGTGTTATAAGGATTTTCAATGTAACTGCAGTGAATTTCTTTTAAATTTGTAATATTTCCTTTTTTATATAAGAAGCATGTTCTGTGTGGTCTAGACACTGGGATCAATATTAACACTGAAGACAGTGGAGAGGCTTAGTATGTTTGTATGATTATGAATGTATGATTTTCAATGTAACTGTAGTGAATTTCTTTTAAATTTATAGTATTTCCTTTTTTGTAAGCTGCTCCTGAAATGGCAGGTATAAGGAGCATGTTTTGTGCGGTCTAGAGACAAGTATCAATATTAACCCTGGCGACTGGCTAAATTGATCATTTTAGTTGTTTTTAAATGTAAAAGACAAAAGATTTTAGCATGTACAAAATATGTTTTAAAATATGTGGAAACAAGAAAACAACATTTTTTCTGAATTTCAAGTGGATCCTAAACCACAGCAAATGCACATCCAACTGTCTATGTGTACTGTAGTAACCCTAACCCTAGCTCGGGCATTGATTCGTCGAATACGTATATTCGACGAATCAATGCCCACAGCTTGGCATACAAGGGTTTTGCAGAGGGGGTCTTGCCACCTGCCTGAAAAAAAACAGTAAAATGTTTGAGTGCCTAAAGAGTTTCTATTTTTATTTTCTTGAGAAAAGTTGATACCATTTCCTGGACACCCCGTCCCCTATCAGTGCGCGGTGCCCGGGGAAAAATCTGTAGGGGGGCGTCTGAAATTCTGAGGGGGGCTGATATTTCGGTTGAAACGGAGCTGTACGGTGCAGCTACCCAAATGAAATCTCGCAGCTATGCCATTGATTTGTGCTTCATGATAGAAGATAACGACTAGCAATCTGGTATTTGCGATGAAGTTCAGTTTCACATTTTTCGTCACTCTCACGGTTTGTATTGCCTGGAGCGAAAAGTACCATAAGCGACCATTTTTGCAGCTACATGGACGTTCTGAATCGTTAAGAAAAAAATGTTGTAAAACCAACAGAAAGCACAGACTGCTATAACTAGTCCTAGTTATATAACGATTTTAAGTATAATGATAAACTACTGTAAGGAATCGGTCCACCTGAGCAAACAGGATCGTAATGTTGACACTCAATAACGACACTGATATGTGCAGTTCCTGGATGGATAGCCCTCCTGCCCATCAAACAGACTGAGTGACTGTTCGTGTCATTTAGTGTTGTCTGACCATTGACAAAGTACAACTATTTTTTTAGGGCGCAAATTAAGTTAGGTAAATCTTTTTGCCCAAAACTGAAGGGGCGACATTCCTCCCTCCCCCCGTGATGCCAGGCCTGTCCCCATCCTATTCCATAATGTCATTATATATAATACCATAGAACAGTTACCGATCCTTACTAACTGCATGCGTTAAAATTGCACATCAACACATAGCAGGGGGCACATAGCCGCGATGTATTATCAATGTTAAATTTCAACCATAATATCGACAACATTAATAAACGCATATGTTGAGAAAATATCGAACCCAGCATATTTTCCGGTTATATACCACAATGCATTGCTAGTATTCGTTGGTCACCATTTTGGACACGTTTTTCAAACGTAGAAGTATATCCGCAAATATCTCAGCAATCCTCTTTTGACGAGTAAGTATGAACTATCTGAATACATACAGATCTTTCTTAATATTATTTTGATTAAAATAGTACGTGAATAAGCAAAAAATGGCACATAAAAATAGTGTGAATGGGGAAGATGACACAAAATCGTTTTGCCGTTTCTCTATTCTTATTCTATGTTGTACTTTCAAACTTTGGGTACTCTTTAATTAGGACAGACTTTATTGCTCAACTGCTATGATGCAAGCCAAATTTTATACATTTATTTCAGCTTTGAGCTTAGTAAACCGTTCATTTTTTAGATTATACTAAAGAAGATATTAATCATCATTTATTTGGGAAGTAATATTATATAATTTTCTCCTAGCTGCGGTGCTGAAGTCCCACCCTACATCAACATAAAAAGAAATAAAGGAGCACGCAATGTGTTACTTGAAGAATGCATATGCAAGGCAGGGGGCCAGGAGATCTGGACACTGAAAATAATAGGACTTTGGTTCTGTTAGGACAATTAGACAGGGTTTGCAAATAGTGGACAAAAATTATCTTAACTTCCATTGTAATATTTTTTTTCTTGGAAATATAGAAGTTGTACATTTTAAAATGTATATTTAAATCAAAATGTGGTTTTGAGTTAGTGTGTTAATGTAATTAGTTTGTGTTTGTCATTACTATACTGTATAATGCCATGTTACCAGAATGTGTAGCTGAAGTTTAAGATTAGTTGTGTTTTTTATGATTATTGCCCATATGTTGATTGTTGATTGATCATATACAATGTATAATTTGAATTACATATGTTTCAGGTGTGAATGTGTATTTTCAGAATAAATTTCTAAACCCAATCATTGGCTTGGTTTACTTGTTTCTACACGTATAAAACCTATCTTTGATGTATAATAGACCTCTAAATTTATCCGTATAATGAACTCCAACCATTTATGTATAATGAACGTCTAAACATAGACGTATAATTGACGTATTGCAGACCACATTTAGACGTCTAAGGTATGCGTTTAATAGACATATATTATACGTCTTTTGCCCACTGGGTTCTTGAACATACTGTAAACCAAAACCTTGCTTTAAAAAAACTGTGTTAAAAAATGTACCCAAATTTGTCAGAAACATTTAAACAATCATTTTCAATTATTTTAAAGTCAGAAGTGTCAAAAGAGAGCAGAGAGCTTTCAGTTCTGGATCATGGGGTATGTTTTGTTATTTTCTATAAGATGAGGAGATAAGAATTGCATTGGATTTATTTTTAACTGAAGTGGGATTCTGAGTTCTGTTTCATGTCTCTTTGCTTATTTGATATAGTTTACCACTATGCAAGCATTCAAATCCCCTGAAGAGGATTAATTTTCAGTCAAAGTGAACTGACTAACACTTATTTCTTGTTATAGCACTTGAGCAGGTATGCAATATAAAGTGTAAATAGATTGTGAACTTGTTAAGAATAGTGCAAGCTTACTTAAAATAAAATATTAAGGATGCCAGATCTATTATTTCTATACAGTACAGTATATGTTTCTTTCTTCGGTGAACCTTACTCATTTTGAACCAGAGATATCAAATAATGTTTATGTCAAAGACAAACAGAGACAGTTTCTTCCCACAAGCTCTTAAATTACTTTTTTTTTAAGTTGTATGTTATTCAACTTGCTGTTGTTGCTACTGCTCTTCTGTGTTTATGTTTATGGTGATTCCTTTAATGTCTTTCTTTTGGAGCATTCATGCAAATAAATATTTAATTGCAGTTGTGCATATGAGAAACAAACTGAACTGAATATAAAGTTTAGCCTTCACAGTATTGAGCATGAGTAGCTCTTCTAAAGAACAAAACTACGACAATCCCTACAGTACATTACAGCATATATAATCAGTCATGGACAACCACTGATATGCCGTAGAAGGAATTTTGTTAATTAAAAAACAGAATGCTAGGATATTCATTATTGTAATGCATTTAGAAATTAGAAATGCTAAAATAATTAATTTAATTTGAAAACTGGATCTTGATGTAACATGAGAGAAAAATAAAGATGCAGATTACTGTTTTGAGTTCTTCTCATACAAATCACATAATTGAGAAGGTCTAGTAAGACCATAGTAGACCTATATCAAAAGTCTTATTTAACAACAGATGGCACCTGTCACGGTCGCTACTCTCCCTCTTAAGGGCGCTCCAGCCTTCCTCGTTTTCCCCCATTGTTTACACCTGTTCCTTTGCCCA